GATGAACGGAAGACCTCTTTCTCTGTCTCTCCCTCTCTCTACTTCTGCTTTGAAATAAACAAGTATTTAGAAACAAACCAAAAAAAGTGTTACTCATTTTAAATTTCTGTATGTAATCCTGTTCTTTTATTTTTGGGGGTTTTATTTACTGCAATTATGAGTTTGTTCTTAGGACATGAACTCTCTGCTTCTAAGTTAAGACTTCTGGGCGGCTATTTGCAGGAAAACCCCTACTACTGGGTTATCTGTAAAAACAATCCTTTGTATGCCTTGTGCCTCCACATTAACTAGTAACGCAGGGCTCATGTTTTCTAAGCCCTGAGTTAACAAGTTCATTCACCTGAAGCAGGCATACATGCAAAGTGCTACTACTTGCATGAGATGGAATCTGCAAAGATTGTAGTCTCCTTTCAGTAACTATTTTCTCTTAAGGTGTAGCAATATCCATTTTGGGTCTGGCACAGCATTAAGCACTTCCGACTTGGGGCTCAGTGAGTTCTTCGGGTACTAGTGACCTAGGATTTTTGTATGGGTCTCGTGCTGTTCCTTTACTCTTCTCTCCTGAGGGTAGGAGTGACTCAGTGTTAAGGAAATACTCTCTCCTATAAAGTAAATATTTTCTTCTGCTGCTTCTTCCTTCTTCCTGGCAGCTTACTCTGCCCTTTCTCCACAGCAGGGCCACTGACCCTGCAGGGCAAACACTGATGGCATTAGTTCTTTGTGTGGCTAATCCTTCCTCTGGGCCATCTCCAGGTTAAAAGCCTTAGGCTCCACACTAAATGTGATAAATGCCTTTTCTCCAGTTTGTCAAGATGGGTATTTATAACTTGGTACAAAGAGGTACTTTATTCTTAGATTCTGAGTAGCTTAGTTGTGGTGATATTTCCTGTTGGAGCAAGCTATCTTGCTCCTCCACTATTTTCTTCATAGAATTCTTAAGCTTTCCAGCTATTTGGACATGCTAAAAGCAGCCTGGTCTCTTGCTATATCCTAGTTTCAAGAATACCAATGTTTTATTCAACCTGGCAGCCTTTCCTTATCTTCACAGTTGAGGCGCTTCCTGGGAGTTCCTCAGTCAGGGCTGCCATCTCCAGCTGCAGGCCTGTGGACTCACAGACCCTGTGGGACGTGGGTCCAGGAGGCACCCAGGAAATGGGTTCCAGGATCCGTTCAGCGCCCAATCCCAGGGCTCATGCCTATCCAAATGCTATTAACCTAGCATTGGGTCTTCCTAGTTGTCTTATATAAGTGACAGGCAGAATTGCAAGTCAGCGCCCCAGGATCCCTAGCCCCTGCTTTTTTCCCAGTTTCTCAAGCAAACACTTTTATATACTGCTAAGGAGGAGATCAGATTCACAGATGTAATTAAGGTCTCAAATTAGCTGACCTTAAAAAGATAATTATCCAGGTGGGCCTGCCCTAATCGCTTAAATCCTTTAAATACAAATCCAACAGTTGGAGTCAAAAGAAGGGAGACCTACTTGAAATTTAAGGGAGTAAATGCAAAGATTCTCTATAGCAGACTCGGAAGATGGCAGAGGCCATGTGGCAAGCAGTGTGGGCAGCCGCTGACTGCCAGCAAGAAAACAAGGATGTGCACTCCTGCTGAAAAAGAACTGAATTCTTGAATTTTGCCAACCACCTGAATGAGCCTGAAGGTAATATTTCCCCTAGAGTCTTTGGACAAGTGTTTAGCCCAGCCAACGCTTCTGAGTCCAGGTTTGTGATACACTGAACAGAGAACCTACCAGATCATGTGCCAGGACTTTCGACCTATGGGCCAATAAATGCCTGGTGCTCCTGAGATCACCGACTATGGCAGTTCACAATAGAAGCAATACAAAATGTGTACCAGGGCCAGGCGCAATAGCTCAGTGACTAAAGTCCTCACCTTGAATGCACCGGGATCCCATATGGGCACCGCTTCCCATCCAGCTCCCTGCTTGTGGCCTGGGAAAGCAGTTAAGGACGGTCCAAAACCTTGGGAGCCTGCACCTGTGTAGGAGACCCAGAATAGGCTCCTGGTTCCTGGCTTAGAATTGGCTCAGCTTTAGCTGTTGTGGTCATTTGGGAGTCAACCATCAGAGGGAAGATCTTCCTCTCTGTCTCTCCTTGCCTCTGTGCATCCGACTTTCCACTTAAAAAAAAAATGTATACCACATACACAATATTCTCTCCTCCTGGAAAGGTGAGGAAAAGGCTATAATGCTTTGATATGTTTTTAAACACTGCTAAGGATGTAACAGAAACACCATGTAATAAAATCTTGATGACTAAACTGCTCTGAAGGAGGCAAACACTGAGCAGGGCACACAGAACCCCGTTGCTTAGAACTCCAGGCAGCCCTCACAGCAGCACTGCACTAAGGCCTTCACAAACAAGGAGGGGCAAACTGCAACAGGACAAACGTCCACTTTCCAGAGACAGAAACAAAGACTCTTTTCCCCTTCCCTGTGGGATCCTGAGATTGGAAGTGGATTGAAGTGGTTACTACAACTCTGCAGTAAAACACCACACAGGAAAAGGAGAGCCTGAAGAATCCAGTCTTCTAAGAGATTCCCTGCTTTTACCAGCCTCTCCTAAGGCGCTGCTGAGATAGAGAAGGTCTATAAAAAATATCCACGCAGCCTTTCTGTTTTAGAGCCCAGAAGCCATGGGAGTTGACACCCGCCACATCTGGCTATTAGAAATTTCCAGCATTCTGCAGACATCTGGCCACTCTCTGAAGCCTGCTGTGGTCGGTGCTGATCAATTCTACCTTTGAGGTCAAAACGGGTGTCCCTTCCACAATGCACTGACTACATTCCCAAGTCTTGGCACAACTGGAAACCAAAACAAACAACGCACACTGGCAGAAAACATTCCCATGCTGCTATCAGGCTAAGGACTGCAGCCAAGAGTGTTTAGGGCAAGCGTTACCAATCAATACTCCTTATAAACCAATTAGAAAAAAATAATTAGGCACTTCAAAAAGATATTGGAATGGTCAATAGCACATGAAAAGGCGACTGACATCATTAGCCAGTTAATTCACAAATTCCAGAAAATGAGATAGCACTAGGCACTTGGCAGAATGGTTCTAACGTTCAAAGACTGACCGTGCCTCCTGAGGGAAGGGAGCAAGCAGACCTGCTCAGACTCAGCCGGGGAGGATGCACAACGGTGCAAAAATACTTTGGGAAACACTATTTTTAACAGCTCGAGTTAAATGTGTGTCTACTTTCTGACCCAGCAGTTCTACCAAGGGAAGTGAAAGTGTATTTCTACACAGACTTGTGTAAGCATGTTCTGTGCCACTTAACTAGCAGGTCCACCCATTACACTCACGTATCGTCTACACTCAATGAATAATTCTAAAAGACCTTGTTTCCATAAAGGAACCCAGACCCATACAAAAGAAATGTTCTGGGTCCAGTGCGATGTCCTAGTGGCTAGATCCTCGCCTTACAACTGCTGAGATCCCATATGGGTGCCGGTTCCTGTCTTCCACTTCCTTTCTAGATCCCTGTCTGTGGCCTGGGAAAGCAGTTGAGGATGGCCCAAAACCTTGGGACCCTGAATCCTTGTCAGAGACCTGGAAGAAGCTCCTGGTTCCTGACTTTGAACCAGTTCAATTCCAACTGCTGTGGCTACTTGGGGAGTGGACCAGTCAGTAGCTGCAAGATCTTTCTGCCTCTCCTTCTCTTTGTAAATCTGCCCTACCAATAAAAATAAATAAATACCCAGAAAAGTATGTCTTAGAACATTGGATTATGTTTAAAGATAGAGTCAATCTATGGTGAGAGGTGGCATAACAGTGTTAACCTCTGGAGGTGGAAGTTGGAGGGAGAGTTGCCAAGAGAGGGGTTACCCTGGAATATTCTAGAAATGCTCTCTTGACCTGAATGTTGCCTACAGGTGTGTTCTTAAGACTTGGTCGTTTTGGGCCCGGCGCTATGGCGCAAGTGGTTAAGGTCCTCGCCTTGCACACCCAGGATCCCATATGGGCGCCGGTTTGAATCCCGGCAGCCCCGCTTCCCTTCCAGCTCCCTGCCTGTGGCCTGAGAAGGCAGTCAGGACCGCCCAAGGCTTTGGGACCCTGCACCCATGTGAGAGACACGGAGGAAGCTCCTGGCTTCGGATTGGCTCAGCTCCAGCCATTTCGGCTGCCTGGGGAGTGAATCATCGGACGGAAGATCTTTCTGTCTCTCCTCTCTGTATATCCGCCTTTCCAATAAAAATAAATCTAAAAAAAAAAAAAAAGACTTGGTCGTTTTGCTCTGTGCAAATTTTACCTGAACAAAGTGTGGTGTGAGTGTGTGTGTGTGTGTGGGGGTGGGGGGTGGCACTACCAATCACCGATGTTAGAAGCCACAGGTGCCTCATCCGCGCATTGCGGGGCAGCAGAGTAACCCACTCCACCCCTGCTCCCTAGACAGGAGCCGGGCAAAAGCCTTATCTAATTATTCTCCTGAGCAGGAACTCCTTGCTGGAACTGCAGAGCCCGGACAGCCTCAAGTCTGCGTTTTACAAACATCTCATTTAACTCCCCCGGATAGGACCCACTTCAGGATGAGGAAGCTTGGGGGTCCATACAGCCCTTTCTTAAGCTCGAGGAAATGAACACGCCCTGGCTTACTCGGACGTCAGGAGCACTTTCCCCCTTCACACCCACGAAGGACGCCGGGCGGACTCGCCAACTCATACCCCTCAACCTCTCTCCAACCGCTACCCGGACGGGAAGGACTCGGCCCTGCAGCAAGCTGACTTATAAAAAAACCTGCCCAACCCTCCCCAGGGTGAGCGGTTCTTCAACTCGAGCCCACACGCCCCAAGCACGGGTAAAATAAGCCACTCGTACCAGGCACCAGAACCTCCCACAGCACACCCAAGCCTCGCGCCAGCCGGACCTCGCGCACGCGCGCTGGCGCCACCGCCTTTGGTCCCGCCCCCTACGATCCGCGCAGGCGCGCTCGCCGCTCGGCCCCGCGCACGCGCAGATCAGAAACTCGGCTGCGTACCTGCGCGAAGCTAGAACCAGACACTTTTTTCTTCTTACTGGCGCTGTAGGCTCCGCTGCTGCTGCCGTTGTGAGAAGGGCTGGCAGGCCTCTTCTTACTGCTGCGGGCTATCCCGGGACTGGAAGTGGTGGCCACGATGGGAATTTGAGCCGCCATCCCACCCCGAACCTTCCTCCTCCCCACCCCCCTTTCCCAGGGCAGAGCCTGGAACTTCCGGCTGGTATTACTTCCGCCTGGAGGCCGGAAAACGCGGCCTGGACTGAGGATTTCGCGGGCTCGGAGAGGCGGAAGCGGCGTCGTCAGCCCTGGTGAGGCGGGCAGGTTTCTGCCAGCCCGTTCTGAGCCTGGCTATGGAGCTCTCGGGGCAGAGGAACGGGGACCAGTACCCATGTTTTCCCTGGAATGAGATTCATTCTCAGGGAACCAAAATGACGGCCAGGTAGCTAAGAGGGTGAAGTGACCATGAAAAGCTACTCAAGTTATTTTAAAAAATTCATCCAGCTTCAGTTACTTCTAATTCCCTCTAGCTCCCCTATATCTCTTCCTGCTCGCAATATAAATCTAGGATGTAGGAAATGAGAAATCAGCAGGAGGGTTCTTTCTGCTTAAGCAACATACGTGTTCATTACAGCTGTCCTTGCAATTGAAGCTCTGGCTGCTTCTGCGTTCAGTGTCACAAGATAAACTTTCCTAAAACATCATCTGAAAAAAAGCGGTGATGAAGGTTTCAGATTGTCCGATCTCATTCTTGGGCCTGCCGCTTTCTCGGACGTGTGGACCTCCATTTCTTAACCCACCTGTGATCCAGAGCTTCCTTCGCACTGGTTGCCAAAATGAGCTTTCTAAAGGGCAGATCCAGTGCATGCCATTCTCATATTCTTCAGGGCTCTTTTGCCTTCAGTCTAACATCCCAGGAATCTTTTAGCTTGACCTAAGGTCCTTAGTACTACTGCTGTGCCCTCTTCATTTGCTTCATTCCCAATACTTAACTCGTTGTGTAGTAGGTTGTTGTTGTTGTAACTCATACTTTTGTTTCGTTATTTCTTGTCCCGGGAATGCTTGGCCCCTTGCCCTGTTACCATCCATCTTTGCCTCAGTACAGATTCCATTTTCAATCACAAGCCTTCTGCCTTCTGAAGCCCTCTCACTTCCCTAACTCCCAAACTGCACCTGGTACACATGTGCCATACAGGAAGTGCTGCTGAACCCTTTCCTGTACTGTTAGTTGAGTTCAAACAGCAATTCCCTATTTTAGGGACTCAGGCAAATGGATACACCACTGTCTGTCTCTGACAGTCATCTTCTGCCATGAATGATTTCTAACTCCTGTGGAAGTTTTTCAAAATAGAGATTACCTAGCCACATCCTCCTACAGATACGATTCGGGCAGGTCTCATGCTCAGCCAGGTTTAGAGCCAGTCTCTTCCTGCTGAGTCCTCACAGATCAATAGTTCCTTAGTGTAAGACCCTTGGCTTCCCTTGACTTCCCCCATGTCTGCTCCCGGCAACTGTCCCATTCACGTCTAGGGCCTCAACTGCTGTCTAAATGCAGACCACACTCATGTCTGCGTCTCTCATTTGGTTCTCCAAAGATGCCTACCCAGATACATAGAAACTCCAATGCATCTCACTCTCTGTGTGGCAAAAGCAGATTCATCATCATCTCTCCACCTCCAGAACATGTCTTCCCTACCACATTCCTATTCCCAGTGTGTTGTGTCTCAGTAAATTCTAGTTTATTGATCAGTTGTTCAAATTTGAAACCTGGGTAGATGCCAGAGTTACCAGGGATTGAGAATAATAAGAAAAGTAAGAAAAACTTTGGAGGACACCCACTCAAGGGAATAAAAGACCAGGACTATCTAGGGGAACGTTTCTCAACATTTGCCTTGGCAGGGCCATTCATTTTCCAATTTGACTTATGCAATGGCTGCACACACCCTACTGTATGTGTGGCACACTTGTTCCCATATCTATTGGTAAAGATAAATTAATACTGATGATCCCTATTCTGCTAGCTTCTGTGATACAACGCCCTCCCCTAAATTCCTAAACTGATACTCAGATACTTCCTCATATACTTCCTCTTCAGCCTCTTGCTGGCTCCCACATCGTCTGTGGCCCTCACCAATGCGATATTTACTTGGGGGAAGACTGCGGGAGCTACCCCTGAGATGCTGATGCCCTGTCTGGGGTCCACAGTTAAGCAGCCAGTCTTTTTTTTTTTTTAATACCCCTCTGCTGGTTCACTCTCAAAGTATCCAGAACAGCCAGGGCTGGGTGATGCCAAAGCCAGGAGCCAGAAACAACATCTGCATCTCCCACATGGAAGGCAGGGACCCAAGTCAAGCAGTTGAGCCATTGTCTGCTGCCTCCCACGAAGCTGGAATTAGAAATGAAGCCAGGGAATGCAAGAGCTCCAAAGTGCATCTTCACAGGTAGGCCAAGGACCCAGGTCTGGACTGCAATTAAGATTTAATGATCGGGCCCGGCGCGGTGGCGCAAGTGGTTAAGTCCTCGCCTTGCACACCCGGGATCCCATATGGGCGCCAGTTCTAATCCCGGCAGCCCCGCTTCCCTTCCAGCTCCCTGCCTGTGGCCTGGGAAGGCAGTCGAGGACGGCCCAAAGCTTTGGGACCCTAAACCCGTGTGGGAGACCCGGAAGAGGCTCCTGGCTTCGGATCGGCATAGTATCGGCCCGTTGCGCTCACTTGGGGAGTGAATCATCGGATGGAAGATCTTCCTCTCTGTCTCTCCTCTCTGTATATCTGCCTTTCCAATAAAAAAATAACAAAAAATAAATCTAAAAAAAAAAAAAAAGATTTAATGATCAATGATTCTGCATGATGATGTGATTGTGAAGCTACTCTGTATCATATGAGGCATGAGGTGATTGATTTATTATCTCTCAAAAATCTCTGGAAGCACAGTGGCTATTTGGGCTCTTACTGATGTTGAATGGAAGACAAAGTATACATCTTCTCATGGTAACTGTGTGGTGTGTGCTAGTCACTGCTCACAGCGTAACAAAGGTTTGCTCCAGTTCCTATAAGACCCCTTAATGAGAAGAAACCTGGAAACTGCTGCAGTCAACACCCTCAAAATCCCCAGCTCATAGCCATAGCAGAGGCTGCCCAGTGTGCGCCGCCCGTTCTGAGAAATGCTAATGTGCAGCCGTAAACAGAGCCAGTGCAGTAAGAAGCAATGGAGTCTGTCTGACAGCAGTCACAGTCCTCACAGGAGTGTGACAGTGCCCATTGTTCTCAGGAATGCCATCTTTGAGGAACCTTCTGGATGGAGCTATCCCAGTCCAACATATATCGTATGGCAAATGCCTGAGTCATGTGTCACTTGGACAGAGGCAGTTTTTGTTGTCAGAGCATTGCAGGTCTTTGGTCCACAGTGATTTGGATGCCTCATTATTTAAACAATTATCTAGAAAGAGATGACAAAAGCTAGTGACTTTGGCTGCTGGGGAAGTGACTTTGTTTACTCACTTGCTTGCTCATTTCTCACCTGACAGATGCATGGGAATATTAAACACAGAGAGAAGCATGAGTGAAAATAGCCCGCTTCTGGTTGGGGGTATAGTGAATTAAGTCATCACTTGAGACAATGGCATCCAATATATCTGAGTGCCAGTTCGAGTCGTGATTGCTGCACTTCCAGTCCAGCTCCCTACTACTTCACCTCAGAAATCCCAGATGATGGCCCAAGACCCTAGATCGCTGTGACTTATATGGGGGCTCGGATTGAATTCCAGGCTTCCTGATTCAGCCTAGCCCAACCTTGGCTATTGTGGAAAGTAAGCAAACAGATCTCTTTATCTGTTTGAAAGTCATTCAGACTTTCAAATAATAAAATAAAATTTTGAAAGCAAGATATCCAGCCTACTTACCCATAACATGTGCAGGGGACAAAGTAAGAACACCAATGGAAATGGTATTCCACCATATTCCTTGCTACTTACATGGATAAATCAAACTAGTAAACTACAAAACGAAACGTTTTACTCTCACATAAACCAGAGCTGAGTTCTGAATACTCAAATTCCTTGGAGCTATGCTTCTGGGTATGACAGTGTGGGCAACACTAGCTCAGTCAGAGCATTGACTGAGAATGCTGCTTTGCAAAGTTTGAATGGGAGAAAACAGCAAGGAAGACAATTTTGTTTGTGGGAATTACTTCTTACATTCATGCATGTTAAATAAGCAACACTTACCATTACAAATTCATCCCCAAAAGTCTGACAAAGGACTGCCCAAAGAGTGGGCTCCTCACTTTCCACCGTGGGAGACAGAATCAAACTCCCAGAAAGGTGCACTGTTCCCCATTGGTCCCCCTCTGGGTGCTGTGCTCCCCCTCTTCTTACCAGAGACCTTACCCATTTTTTGGAAGGAATTATCATTTTAACGCATACTCTGTGCATACCGTGAGAAGAAAACAATCCTAATTACTATAATTTTCCCATCTCTGGGATTCTCTCCCTATTTTGCTCTTCCAACACCTCAAATTTGCTAATCCCTTGACTTTGACACCTGCATTTTTAAATCATCTGCCTACTTCGATTATGCGCCCACCTCCCAACCCACATAATTCCTAGCTCTGCCACCATGTTGTTTATGCTTTTATCATGTGTAATACTTGGTCTCTGTCAGCTGTGTTGGCACATTGGGGTAGTACTGGAGATTAGCCCAAAGGCTTTGGGGATGGTCTGTGATGAAATAAGCAGTAGCGACGAAAGGCAGGCTCCGAGATCCTCATGTTCTGAGCTCAGAAGAGATGTCCCAAAGACCGAAGAGCCGAGTCATTTCCTGGGGTGACCCTTACTCAGCCCTCACAAGGCAGTACCCCTCTGGCCTTGAAGTGGATGAGATAACTGACTGAGGCTTCATAACCATTTTGGGTGAAGGAACATGTGAGGCAGGACAGTCCGCAGCTTTCTTCCTTGATGTGGCACTGAAAAGAACCCAGAAATCACTGGGACAAAGAAACACCTATTCTCCACTTCATTCAAGGGTGCCTGCCACCTCATTTGGAAGAGCTAGAAATGGAATGTGCTCACAGTTTTTAAGAAAATTATTCACTCGGGCCCACCTGCACAGTGGGTGCCAGGTCCATGAGTCCCAGGGATTATGGGGGTCTGACAGGGCCTGGGTCACTTAGCCCCAGTCTTTAGGC